ACAAAAAGTATAAATTAGGCTTACTAATAAGACAACTCAGATCTGAAGCTACACAGGAATCTGCTGCCAAAGTGCAATAAAAAAGACAAAATTAATAGAATTTTTTTGTTGCATTTTATTAGAGTATAAAAATAAATGCCTTTAAAATAGGATGCAAGCAACACTAGTTTCTTAACCTGAATTGATAATAGACTATAATCAATTTAAACAGAACAGATCTTAATTTTTGCATTCTTATACCATTTTGTACAATAATTATAATGAATAAGTTCCAAACAAACTAAAACTTACAGCTGATTAATAACGGTATCTAACTTGAGTTTTTATTATATCAAAAACCTGTTGAAATGCTACTGTTATTTTTGACTGTCCCCAAAAAGCGCGTCGTCCAGGAATGCTTCTTTCACAACTTCGCCGTCTTTGAAAGACTTCATGTGTTTCGCAAGAACCTGACACGATAAGATGCTATTGTAGGAGCCTTGCTCTTGTTGTTGGGCCTGGTGAAAATGGGCTGCTGTGCATTTAGCTGTCCTTTCAGGTCCCTCCCCTTTTGGGATCGTAAGGCAGAATTAGGAGGGAATTCCGTCTCGTAGCGTTTGTGCACTGTTTTGAAATGCCGCTCCTAAATTACCCTTCTTCGATAAAGCTACGCTCGCATTGCAGATGAGACAGATGGACTTTGAATTGGAATATATAAAAAATATAAATCATCCTCCCACTCGGAGTAAAAATTATATGTTTTGGGCTTTTTTGCTTCTGCCATAATTGCGGTCTTGTGTGTGTGCGGACTGTCACTCCTGTTGACACGGACAAAGTCAGCGAACTAGTTTGGACTGCCCACAAGCCCCGCCCCGACACATGGGGTCACGCCGGCCAATCACAAAGCTTTGATGCGTTCAAGTGCATTATTCTGGCACAGGAAGATTATGTTATAGGACATTAACGATAAAACAGAATATTGTTGTTCTATTTTTAGACACATCTCGCGATCGACTGGTGTATGTTGATATTGAGGTGACTATTAAGGTCCGGACACACCGAGCCGATTTTGGCCGTCGATAGATTTCTGGCCGTCGATGAGCGTCCGGTCGCCCTACTCATATTGGTGTGTCCCGTCCCGTCGTGTTTTTCGGCCGTGCCGACACCTTCTGCCGCTGATCAAACATGTTGAATCGGTAGGCTGTCGGCAAAAGGTTGTCGGCTAAATAAATCACTCTGATTGGCTCTTCAGCTAGCGATTCGCTAGTGCATTAGAAGCGAAACGGAAGTGAGGGACCCAAACAAACTATTAAGAAGGCAAATCTGAGATTTCATTTAACTCCAGCTCTCGACACAGGTTCGCGAAAGCCCCATGAGCTTCTCGTTGTAGAGTGAAAATGGAACGCACACGCTATTTGTTGTTGGTTTATATCACGCAGCCTGTTCTTCTTCTCTCGGTGTATCACGCAGTCTGTCTCCCGGTTGTTGCCTCTTTTGAATCACGAACACACACTACCGCCGCCTGCTGGTAAGGAGAGTTATTGCCACTCACGCATGCACAGTGCGTGGTACTTGGCCGTCGGCTCAAGTCTTTGCGGTGTGTTCCAGAGTGCGACTGTTGGCCAAGACGCAGGAGACATGAAGCGACACAACAGTCTGCTCCGTTTGGACGTTTTCTTTGGTGTCAGATTGGTGTGTAGGGGCCTTTACATGCAAATGTGTCATTGTAAAAAAAAAACTACCCTCTGCTTTAGTTATTGGTCCTTTAACAACATCAAAAGATCAGTGGTTTCAGTCAGTGAGATTTTATGGTCACATAATAGGAATTCTGGATACATAAAGGGGTCTGTAGGGGGGAAGGTTGGGGTCATGTTTTATTTAAATGGTTATTTAGGTAGTCAACTAAGATACCTAAAGCACCAGAGACATACATTTTGGTTAAAATGTGGAATATGATCATTGTCTTGAGTTTTAAACTACTGGGGTCAAATTGATCACAGGGGATAAAGGGTGTAAAGTAAATCTGAGGATAACAGGAGGGTTAAGGAGTGTTTGGTCCTCTTATGTCTAATGAAAGGTGTGTGTGATGCGACTGCACTCACCCGGCTCAGCCCCATGTGGTGGCTGCTCTTCTCCAGGTCCAAGGACTCCAGCAGCTCCTCCACTGCCTGTAAACCAGCAGAACAAACAGTCAGAGACAAAAAAAGCAGCTTTGTTCCAGGCTCTACCTCGGAGCCATGGCATGACCTGGTGGCCTAAAGCGTGCTAGCATGGTGTTTTTGTAACAAACATCACTCCACCGATAACACCAGCTAACACAAACACACACTGCTCCCCTGATCTACCTCCAGGGGGAAAACAAGTCAGACAGAGGAGTTTCTCAGGTCCCTTTATGTCAGGTTTCACCCGTCGAGTCAATTCAACCTTTAGAAAACAAACTGCACACAGGGTGGGTTGTTGTTGCTGATGCTGGGGTTAAGGATTTAGAGTCTAAAGAAACCTAATATTTGTGTATCCGATAAATGTAATTGTTAAGTGAAAGTGTTGTCCTGATGCTAGCGTTAAAGAAAGGTCAGAAACATCAATAAGAAGGGAACTTAACCTAAACTATTAACCAGAAAGTCTGAATTATGACATTGGGAAGTGGAGTTTAAAAAAGTGTTGACTTTTAGCATACATAGGGTCAACTTACATCATAGTGAAGTGATTCAACATTTTTGACCCAAGGTACAGATATAATTCTGTATTTATAAACCATTCCTCTTTGTTTCGTTTTTTTAAACATCTCACTCCCAAATCCAAACTTGGATTGACTATGTTGATGTGTCTCAAATTGTGTTCTTGCGATACATTTGTTGTTTTGAGTGCGTCCCAATGAGAAGTATGGCAAATGGCACTGAGTACCAGGACGGTGTTCCCATTACCGTCAACAATCTATGGTGGAACTCTTGGATGTACGAAGAGAACTGGATACAGCGTTGGAGGTGGGGGCACTGTTAAGACCATATAGCATGCCAACCTGAGTTTTCGCTGACTAACAGATCTCCGTTTCCAAATGGAATTTTTTTATTTTTGGGCCCAACAAAGTCAAAGACGGACAAGTAAGTTGTAGAACTACCGTTTGGTCTCTACGAACATTTGCTTCAACGGCCAGCACACTTCCTGGGGGCTTGTTGGAACTATGGAAACATCTCACACTCCATGATCTCCAAGTTGGATACGTGATGAAAGTTCGAAGACCAGCAGTGATTGTGGTAATCATCTATCATGGTGCCAAAAAAGAAGCCACCCTTATTTGAATTGGGTGTAATTCTGTAACGATTTACCACAGCTAATGATAAGTTTGCTAACTGGCTAGCTAACAGCAGCAGCACGTCAATTCTGGTGAGGGCGCAGCCGCCTTGTGCGATTTCGGACAACACATGGTCTAAATTCACATTTGGAGCAAGTGTATGACATGCAGTGTTCTAAGGGAAGTGTTCAAACTGAGACACAGCATGTGACTGACATTATTAGGAGCTGTGCTGTACCAAACTCTACAAGTTCTTCTTCAGCATGTAGACCACTAAAACTCTCCACTGAAACAGGAACAATAGTATGACAAGATGATATTATATACAGTACGGTTTTGGCAGGTACCATCTGGCTACTGACATCATGGCTACAACACGCCGTGTTGACAGGAACCGACAGAAATACAGCGTTTACTCAAACTGTTATTCTCTTTCTGTGACTTTGTCTTTCTCTGAAAACCAATTCCTTCATATTATTCCTCCAATGATACGGCCTTCTCTGTGTCAGACTGCCTTCTTTCATCCATCTTCCTTGCTTTCTTTCTTCTCAGCCGGGTACCATTAGTTATTTCTGAGTGGGCTATCCTCTGTAAGCTCATCTCCAAGGAATATGGTAAGCCACTTTACTGTCAGTGTCTTGTGGTGTGGTAAAGAGACGGAGAGCTTGATTTGATATTTAATCCAGTTAAATCTTCCCCGTTGACAGCATTCTTTTCGTGTTCCACACTTATCCGAACAAGACAATCATATTTTAAATTCGCAAAAAAGATTCTTTAACTCTTAGGAGGAGACATTTTTGCACGTGAGCTACGGAAAGACTTAAGGTAGGGGGATGTTTTTTTCCTGCAGCGGCCCCACCTCCCCCTCATAAAGGCTAATCATGCCTTTGTGCAAAGCTGCTTTATACTGCCTGAACAGAATGTAGAGAAGTCATTAATCATATGCTCAGGCATGTTCCTAAACTGTTCTGCCTCCTATACAAAAGGAATGAAAAGGAATGGAAAGATAATGAGACAGGGGGAGAAAAGTGGAAAAAGGACATGGAATTGTGATGGGGGGGGGAGAGGGGAGAGATGGGGAGGAAAGAAAGAGCTCTTCCCACTGCCGGTAATTAATCAGTACAGTAGCCGTATGCTGCCAGCCTGTGCAATCATAATTAATTACACACAAGAGCGCTCTTGGAACAGGAAGAGGACAGGGGAGAGAGGAGGAATAAAGGGATTCTGTTCACACCGGGAGAAGAGAGTGTACAGGGCAGCGAGAGAAATATTAAATCTACAGACTTTAAACCTTCCTCAAATTCTGACACCATCATGGTTAGTTTAATTATTCCTATTATTGTAGGACAAAGCTCCTAAGCACAATTTGTTTTAAAGGCTAATAAGTTTGAGATAAACTTATAAGCTGACCTTTATGTGGGGAAATGGTGGAGAGGCTCTTGAAATGTGATTGTTTTTTAATGGAAAAATTGCTTTCTAATTAGTGAAAGAATACATTGTTGACTCTTGCTATTCTTTTAGAAATTCATACCAACTGACGATTCTCAGAAGAAGGATTGGCAAAATACTAAACATAGCAGGGTATCAAAAACAACCAACACGGACATGGTGTCACAACTAGAGCCAATAACAATACCTCCATGTCTTGTTTTTGTGTTTTCTGTAATCAAAAATATATCTTTATCAAAGGTTGACATAAATACAAAGTTGCAGTAGACAACTTTTTTGAACCCCTCAACCAACCTTAATAAATGCCTAATGATGTTACCAATATGCTAATGAGTTTATGGCATTATATGGCAACTTTAAGAGATTTTGGGAGATATTGCTAGCTCATCGTTAGCTAGCTAGCTAGCTACTAATGTTGTTTTCCACAATTACTTCAGTTGTTCTAGCGTCTTCCATTTCCACTAATGGGGATAGTCACTATTACATTGTACTCTTTGTACTCTACTGTATGCAAGAAAAAACATTGTATATATACATTACGTTTAACTTTATCAATAGGCTATACAGCTCTGGAAAAAATTAAGAGACAACTGAAGCATTATCAGTTTCTCTGGTTTTACTATTTATAGGTATTAGTTTGAGTAAAATTAAATATATATATATTTTATTCTATAAACTACTGATAATATTTCTCTGTGTTGGAATTCTACAGACACAGGAATGGAATGGCTGCCATACATGTAGAGATTGAGATTCAAGACAACATTTGAGTGGTCTCTTAATTTTTTTTGCTGTATATAAAGATCCAATAGGACAACTAAAATACATGTATGTGAAGTTTCTTTCTTATTTCATTAACATTTGAGTTGTTTTTGAAGTCACATTGATCATACCCTGGGTTCTGTTAATCCCTCAGATTTTCCTGAGATATCTAGGAGAGTTCCATGACAGCATCCAAGTGTTTTCATCATATCAGCAGTGGCTAACCCCCTTAACACTCACCCTCTTCTCGTCTGTGACGATGTAGTGGCGGCCGTGCTTCTTGGTCAGATGAGGTGCCAGGACATCAAAGCGCCGGCGGAACTCAGAGAACACCATGTGGTCCGGGTACCCTGCAGCGAGGGAGGAGGTAGGACAGAGGGGGGGGGGGCACAAAAATACCAAGGTTAGAAGAGCGCCTGCAGCAAGTGGACAGCCGACACCGTGTCAAAGGGCAATCTTTATCTTCAAGTACAGCGCAAAAACTCAAATCTGAACAATACGCTTGTGGCACAGTTTGTAAGCTTTCTCAAGTTCTTGGACAGGCACTAGCAGTAAGAATGGAAGAACGTTTTATTTCAGATAAATATTAAAGAGTCAGATATGAAATGGGAAGATCGACCCAGGTCAGAATCAACAACAATGGGTAAGCCCAATCAGATCATCTAAAGAAAGTGTTGAGTTCATAATTTATTGACCTCAGAAGGAGAGAAGAGCCATTTTCTTTCCAGGCTATTATAAATCTGGATGAAGCATTCATTATTTTATTATAAATGTTTCTTTATTTACTCTCTATGCTTCCTAATGGTACTACTCCACTGCTTGTTTTTTTCATTTTTGCAAAACCACAATCGGTTTAGGTGACACAAGTTGGTTAATATGGAAGTTAGGGTTAGTGCAATTGCAACAGTACATGGATGAAAATGGCCACCACTCTGACTATGCTGCTATGTTGATATTAATAAGAATGTCTGTTTTACTCCTATTCTATCTATGTATTTTGCCCCGTGAGATGAGAGTGTGAACTAATATAAAAAAAGATGGATCCATTAGATGTAAAAAATCTTCGCGGCGTTTCCAAAAAAGAATACAGTGGACATCAGGTAGGATGTAATCTATAAGAATAAGAAAATAAATGGCACATTTTGACTTCCATACCTTGCCTGTAGATGCGCAGTGCGTCCAGCAGCTTGGACCCTCGGAGCTGGGCTCTCAGGAGGCCCACGTCAAGAGTCATGAGGTCCGAGTCAGGGCTCTCTCCGTGCGTCACGCGGGGCTCACCTCCACCACCCACCGCCTCGGCTCTGGGCAGCAGGCAGTGGACGAAGTGAACCCTGGAGCGACGCACCATGTCGATCAGAGCGTCCTGACAACAGAGAGGAGAGGAGTCAGTCATCACACTCTGCTTGGTGATAGGTCACATCTAATAATAGATTACAAAAACCTATGTAAAAAAAACTATTCCAATATCGACTCTCTTTAGTTAAATGTATTATAATGTACTTCTAGAACAAAAGCTGAGTTTAATGGTTTTTGATTGAGCTTTAAAATGATTATATTATAATAGTAAAGAAAAATGTGAACATAAATGTACTTGTATCACATCTCTTCCATCTTTCTATTAATTTTCTGGTACTGTATTATTATTATTTAAAGAGCCTGTGACAGCCTCCCAACAACTGTTGTGCAATGAAATATTGGGCTACTAGTCATCTCGAACCGTCATCTTAAAAAAGAAGGTGCGATACCGTTCCGATAAATATCAATAATTTCGAACATCGCAGGGAAATTCCTTCGACTCATTTTGAAGTTTTGGGGGAAGCCGGAAGTGACGTCAATGCGGGAATGCTTCACTGTGCGGCGAGAGAGCCAAACACGGACAAAGTGTGTTGTCCTGCGTAGAAATGGTGAATTACTGAGTGTAGGCACGTTAATAACGTTTTAATGAAGTTGACTACAGTATATTCATATTTGTCAGTGCTTTCATGTCAATTTAGCGAACATAAACATAAATGATCGTGGTGAAGATGATGATTAAAAATCGTTTGTTTGAGCCGGTCTGCATTTCCTGATGAAAAAACAAACCAATGCTTTTTGTAGTTGTAGTACACCAACATGGATTAAAAGTGTGTTTTTTTACCACAATCTTGGGGAAATTAATGGATAAAATGCACGGATTATTATTATTATTATTATTCCCACTCCGATCGGGACACTAGGTCCACCGTTTCCCCGCAGATAGGCTCCCCCCGTTGACAGTTTACGTGGGCTGGGCTGGGTGCAGTGGCGGACTGGCCATCGGGACGAATCCCGATGGTCCGGTACCGAAGTGGGCCGGTCGGATAAGTCACTAGCACATCCCCCACTCCCCCCGTTGACAATTCACTAGTGGTACCGAAGTGGGCCGGTCGAGAGTCCCGGGCTGATTTTTAGTCCCAGTCCACCACTGGCTACATGACCGTATTATCGCCCATATTGACGCACCTAATTCCTAAACTTCTAACAGATAAAACATAAACCGATCCTTCAGCCTCATATGAGCTCTCAGACACGTTCAAAATTAAACTCATCGCTGTCTGAGCTTGCTGCTGTGTGCTACATCATGCGTTTACATGCAGATGCTGGGATCCTGAACGGTGCAGCTGGAGCGCTTGGCCCGCAATGACATCACACATAATTTGGTGGGATTTGAAGAATCCCCGAGAAGATCCAGAATATGGTCAACATTGAAGGGTAGATTAATGGTTATCAAAGTACAAATATCCAAAATCAGTTCAGTAACGGTTTTCAAGGGGACAATATTTACTAAAATTGATGGGTTTGGATGATGGGGGAAACTCGTGTCACAGGCTCTTTAAGCAACATACAGGACTTTGTTAAATTCTTACCTTGAAAATAAAAATCATGCATTTATTTTTATAGTCATATATTATACGTAGGTATTTTGGCATAAGATTATAGGTATACAATGATATGAAACTCACAAGAGGATTTTGGCCCTCCCACTTAAAGTAGCTCTGTATCCTTGTACCTTCACTGTATACATTAATATTGAATTAAAAAATAAAAGATCCAAGTACAAGAAGTTGTATATTGTTAAATGAAGCAAATCAATGTTTTTCTGAGGGCTGATTATGCTAGGAAATACCTGCTCTATGTGCTAATAAACAGATCACAAGGTAAGTTGTCCCGGTAAGGTACAGAAAGACCTACCTAAAGCTAAGGAAAATGTGATAAATGCAGTTCTCCACAGCACCACATTCATGAAAGTAGGCCCAGTCTTTGTCTGCCCTCTAGGAGGGAAGTCTCAGTGTTTAGTCCCCGTCTCATCCACCTACCACTTGGAGTTTGACCTGGATACACAGGCTCTTCTTCTTGACAGCCGCCACCCCCGTGGTGAAGGTCTTCCTCATGCTGGTGGCCCGTCGCAGGGCGAGCTGGGAGCTGCCCTCCAGCCCGGCGATGGAGCCGGACAGCACCGTGGCCCCGCTGGCCCGGCCCATAAACAGCCCACTGATGTTCTTCCTGTGGGGACACAAGGATAGGTTTCATCCGTATGCATGCAAATGACTAAGGCCCTGTGTCCAAATGGTGTTTTCTATGGCAGAAAGACACTGGCAAAGACTCCTCACAATGGTTTTTTATGTTTTTATGACAACAATATCTTGACTAAATATTTATGCTTTTACGGGACAGGCTAGATTGGCGTCTTATCTTTTTGGGCCACTCAATTTTAGTTTCACATTGTTTTTGTTTTTTTTACCATTTCAACCACACAAAATATGCCTGCCCTTACTCTTTGTATGAATTAACTTCACTGCTCAGTCCGACAGACCTAGAGCTGAAGACGATTCACAAACGGTGACACCATTTTATACTCATCAGCAGTAACAATCCAGTGTCCGTCAGGCTTATCGGCTCAAACTAATGCATTTTTTATCATAATAGTTTCCATCCAAAAGACACGGGCAAAAACAAGCTTCTCAGTGACGTCACCAGCACTTTTCTGAAAAAAAATTATATTTTCAACTGGAAGCACTCGAAGGGACTCCACAAACACATTGGAGCACTCCAAAAAAGACACTGGGTGCAGCTGCATGCGGCAAAATGTGCTCTCCATTTAAAACAAAAGAAAAAACTGCGCTGCTGCTCAGAAAAAGGCACTATGTGGACACATGTCTTAACATAATATTTGTCCTCCTCTACATTACACAGGGGAGTACTGTGACTGCTTTAGTGGCACATTCTGCAGGCTGTGGGACGCTCCCTGCATCATTTGGCTCACTCTGAAGCCTGCTGCTCTCAAAGTGTATATGAATTATAGTGTATACTGGAGGACTATATTTCATAAGAGTAAGTTGTTATTTGCAAGTACATATTAAAGGTTATTCATATAACATTAAGAACATGATTAAAGCAGAAAATAACTATTTGCAAATAAAGAGAGAGAGATTTATTTTACAAAGCTGGTCAGGCTGTATTGGTATTACAGGGCTGAATAACAGTGTTTTCTAGGAAAGTGTAGCCTGAAGCATAAAAAAAAGGAATTTCGCGAAGCACCCTTCTATTGAACAACTTAACAAGTTAACTATAACTTATCATTGTAATTTCTTGCTTCAAACCATCTGTTTTCACTTGAAATTCAATTTGAATCAAAACAGTTTTTTCATTTATTTTTTTCATCACTTTCTGAATGTGTTGACGCTTACTCTTGTGCATACTGTATATAGCTGTGTGATTATATGTGTGTCTATATGTAAATATATGTTTTCCTTTTGGTCGGGTTGGCGTCAGCTGTTGTGGTAGTTGCTAGGCATTGTTGAGCTTTTGTCTGTGTAAGTATATTTTAGTTTTGTATTTGTAGTTTTGTGAAAATTAGACGATTCATTATAAGGGGCTTATCATTTAAATAAGCGTTCTTTATGTGTGGTATCAGTGTGTGTGCGTACTTCTGGGAGTCCTGCAGCAGCGCGGCAGCGTTCTGGGCGGCGGGGTTGTGCTTGGCGTGGCTCAGCCAGCCCTGAGCGTTGTACTCCACCCAGTCGGTCCCGTGGCTGTGGCCCAACAGGAAGAGGTGGGGCTTCTCTCCTCGCAGCAGAAGACTGGCTCCTGCAACACAAAAGGAATACTTCCATGATCCCAATGATGTCAGGAGTATGATCAGTGCTGTTTACAGGAAGCTACTGTTGATTGCTTTAACAGGCAGTGACAGGTTGATATCTCACCCTTGTTTTCTCCCTGGGCAGAGCCGTAGTAGCTGAAGAGTCTCTCCAGCATGGTTTCCTCTGTACCTCCAGGCTGCACGGCCTCCTCCTCCATCAGCCACAGCAGGCCTCGAGCCTCATCCGTCCTGGCCAGCGTGCGCACCTGTCATGGATACAGAAACTCAGAAATGTCCCCTAGTTTTTGCACTTCCTACTTCACTTGGATTTTAAAAATCCTAAAGTTATGGCAAACGTGTATCTAAAACTTCATTTATCACTTAGGATCATGAGACAATGTGCTATATAATGTTGTAACACCTTTTAAAATGCTATACGCCAAGGTGAGCTTTATTTGAAAGCAAGAACAAAGATAAAGCCGAAGCTTTGGGAAGTTCAATAGTCTCCTCATAGGTATTTGGTCAGAAATCAAGTTCTGGCCTGATAGTGACCTTATAGAGGCGCTACAGGAAAAGTTAAGCAATCAGCAGAGGGGAACATAGATGTCTGAAGAACATTTTAATTCACCCATCTAATCGTTTTTGAGTTGATTCAAAGTAACGTTACGTGGCTTAAGAGGAGAAGACATTGGTATACATCTTAATATGTGTGCCATTCTAGATTAGTGCATTTTCAGGAAACTTTGACCGACTGCTTGTGCTTTAGGAAAGATCAGGGTATCCTCAAAGTCTCTGAGGTTTATCTTCTTGGGACCATCAGTATCTGTATCGAATGGCATGGTTATCCATCCAATGGTTGATGAAATATTTCAGATCTCAGCGGTGGACTAATTGACCAACCAACTGACCGACCAACCGACCGACCAACCGACCGACCAACTGACCGACCGACCAACTGACCGACCACAGAGCTAGCCGCCAACACGGCTACAAAACCCTAACCCCTTAGACTGGAAAATCTTGTTTCTTACTTCCATACAAACCCAAAGATTACTCATAGGATTTCCTGATCTTCCACCACTATGATAAAAGATTGGTTAGGTTTGTCGCAAAAGTTAAAAGGCTAGAAACAACCACTTAAAGTTAAGGAACCATCACATTTTCATAGTATCACTTCCTCTCAAACCAACACTATGATTAGGGTTTAGTTTGTTTTAGGCAAAAACTTTGATTATGGCTCAAAAATAACAAATCTGTTGAGGTGAGGCAACCCTTGTAGATGCAAAAGTCCATGATAAGGCTATTCTTCGCCTCCACTAACAGTGTGACATCATTGTGTCTTCCAAAATCATCCGTTTCCTGATCGCCGCATTTCTTTAATGGAGGTTTGGTTGGTATAAATACATTAGTCTACTTTCTGTGCGAATGCGAATGTTAGCTCTGACTGTGTTAATAGTTCCAGTCTCTCTACAATTCTATGCTTATTCTCTCTTTGTTACCAACGCTGCTAATAAAACGCTTAATGATCAGAGCTTTCCCCGCTCAGTCTCATGAGGTTTCCACTTCACACGTATGTACACAGTGACACATTTAACCTTGCTTTTACAACTCCAGTGCAAATCTATTCCAAGTCTTTTAGAAACGCTTTCGTATCCCACTTGCTCAAGCCAATACACATCAATGCTTTGGATTGGCAGCACACACATTTGTACCACTAATAATAATTGATTGGGCTCTGCAGTACGACGCCCATTGAAGAGGGGGCCAACAAGAAGGAAAAAAAACACCATCCTGGTTCCAATTAATATTGCTGATGTATTCCAAAAGGAAATGTTAGCAAGTTAGCCACAATCACAGAGGACCAAGCTAATTGTTTTAATGATAAATGAATCTGATAATAGTCTGCTTTGTCTTTTGTTAGGAGTTTTCATTTGACACAATTGCGCAAGTTGTAAAGACATGGCATGTGTAAGGAAAAACAACAACTTCTACAGAGCTCACCACATGATCTTGTAGAAGTAATCTTTGCTGAATAGTTGTAAGCGCTGCTGTCGATGTAATCATTTATTCATAGAGGGAAACCTTTGAACCAGGACTTTCTTTCTTTCTGCTAGCAGTGTTTCCTGCTCAAGAATGCCTTTAATGGTCCTAATAACGTGCCATTGTAATATGAATGGGGCCATATTATGCACATTTCAGGTTAATATCAGTATGTAGTGTGTCTACTGTGACATGTCTCCATGCTTTAAAGTTCAAAAAGCTCTTTATTTTTCTCGTACTGCCTGTGCTGCAGTACCTCTTTTCAAACCAGAGCCCAGTCTGCTCTGATTGGTTAGCTGGCAGGCTCTGTTGTGATTGGTCACAATGCTTAGCCTATCACGTATAATGTGTTGGAGCGCTAGCCAATAGAGGTGTGAGTGTTATATAGTGATGTCACAATGTTACGGAAGTAAACAAAGTAGTCGAATCAAGGCATTTCAGGCAGGGGAGAGAAACTTTGGGATTTTAGTCTTTGCAGATTTACATGCACTAAAACCTACATGTCACACTACAGGAAAGGGAACACCTTAAAATGTATAATAGGGCCTCTTTAATATGTGAGACTATACAACCCATAAGATGCTCTCCTCCTTCAAACATGCTTCAGATTGACTTCTTGCAAGTGTTCTGTCTTTTAAAGCGTTCTTCATCAATACAATCTTTAACTTAAATCATCAGTGTGCCTGCGTTTCTATCGTGTTATATTCTAATGTCCTGAGTGTTTAGGTAAATGGGTCCAGGACATTCTCCTGCCATTTTTCAGGTGGGAACACAACACAGTGAGGTCACATGCACAGAGAGGTGTGATACAGCAGGAGGAGTGTTTCTTGTGCTTACCAGAGCTTGGGTGGAGGCTTGGTCAATAGCCGCTACAGACAGTGAGGTACTGGACTCTATGTCATCTAAAGCAAGTTCTATGTTTTCCTAGATGCAGGAGGGATAAAGGCGGATGGTTAGTAACCTACAGGAGATTTGCCAGCAGGAAATAAAATCATCAATAAATCAAAAATTAGATTTGAAATCAGCTTTAACAAGACAGTAGATTGGGTTGTGTGAGAGTATGTTTGTATTTAGCACAATGCTTTGGGGCACACTAGAATGATTTGTTTTCTTATGAGCTCTTCTCAGTAAGCTCTGGTGGTTTCTATCCATGCATATTCTCGGGGACTGTTCTCAAGTCCCCGAGAACAGTTTGAATTATCCAGAGATTCTCAAGGTGGAAAAGTAAAGGCTTACTTTTCCACTGTCCTCCACTGTATTTGGATTATGCACACTTTTCAAAACCAAAACTATAAATCTGCAGGGGCAGACACCACCACAGATGAGAGGTACATAAAAAGAGGTTGAACAAATCATTTAAAAAGTAATCATTTACTGCAGAGAATCTTTGAAGAATGTTCTATGTGTGTATGATAGTGATATGATCTGTCCATGATTGCTCTGTCGGCACCTCCTTGTATCTCTCCATCTCCTGGACAAAGGTGCGTTCATGGAACAGGGTCTGCAGCCTCTCCTGGGTGTAGTTGTGGCAGAGCTCCTCGAACGTGGCACCGCGCTGCTGCTGAGCGATCCGAGGGTTCTGGAAGCCCGGAGTGTCCACGATGAGCAGGGAGCACAGGGAGTGCTGACTGGACTTCAGAGCCCTGAGGGACACAAGGACATCATGGAGCTTTAGTGATGCAGCTTTGACACGGGGACGCTGCACAGTACTGCAAAAATACTCTTTGTCTGTCCAAAATCCAAACATTCTAAAGAGTGGTGCAGTGATGACGTATTTTTTTGGCAGACCCGGAAAAGCAATGGGATTATCTTGTAATAAAACAACTAATGAAGTGCATACATAACAGCAGCATACCTTCATATCACCACTGCTAAGACAAAGATGCCTAATAATTGGCATGATGACGTTTAGTAGTCACATTTAGCCACATGTTAGCAACTTCTGCATTTAAGATACAAAAAAAAGTACACCAGCTGGGTGTTTTACTGATATACTTTATGTTGAGGAAATAAAACATGGAAATCTCATAAGCTTCTGTTAATGACTTATTTTAGGCATTTAACCAAAAACAATATTGACAAGGCAAGGGTAGCCGGAAGTGAAGTTAACTCATTCTCAGTTTTAGGACTCATTCCCGCACCCCTCTATTAACAATAATATAAAACAGAAAACAGCAGTTTCAGCTTTATCTTATCCTCATCCCCAAAATGACATTTTGGGTTGATACATAAACCTCATATTAATGCAAGGCAATGGCAGACGTGTGTATATATAAATACAGTATGTTACAAGCTTACAATTTGACTCACATTCATTGTGAGAAATATATATTATTTTTTATAGGTTTCCGGGTTGTTAATAATGAATTGTGTGATCCACAAACACTACAAAAAGGCTGTAGATTTATTTGTATGTGATTTTATTTATGTTAATTAATTTCTGTTTGTTTTGAATAATACCAAGGATGCATATTGTGCCACTGCCCTCCCCCCCTGGGCAGATCAGACCACAACCTCGTCTTTTTGGCACCTACAGGACTGTCTCAGAAAATTAGAATATTGTGATAAAGTTCTTTATTTTCTGTAATGCAATTAAAAAAACAAAAATGTCATACATTCTGGATTCATTACAAATCAACTGAAATATTGCAAGCCTTTTATTATTTTAATATTGCTGATTATGGCATACAGCTTAAGAAAACTCAAAAATCCTATCTCAAAAAATTAGAATAGTTCCTCAGACCAAGTAAAAAAAAAAGATTTATAACAGCAAAACACAATCAAACATTTGAAAATGTCCATTAATGCACTCAGTACTTGGTTGGGAATCCTTTTGCACGGATTACTGCATCAATGCGGCGTGGCATGGAGGCAATCAGCCTGTGGCATTGCTGAGGTGTTATGGATGCCCAGGATGCTTCAATAGCGGCCTTTAGCTCATTAGCATTGTTGGGTCTGGTGTCTTTCAGCTTCTTCTTCACAATACCCCACATATTCTCTATGGGGTTCAGGTCAGGGGAATTTGCAGGCCAATCGAGGACAGTAATGCCATGGTCAGTACACCAGTTACTGGTGGTTTTGGCACTGTGGGCAGGTGCCAGATCATGCTCGAAAATGAATTCCTCATCTCCATAGAGCTTTTCAGCAGACGGAAGCATGTAGTGCTCTAAAATCTCTTGGTACACAGCTGCATTTACTTGGGCTTGATGAAAACACAGTGGACCACACAGCAGCTGACATGGCTTCCCAACCATCGGCTTGACGTGGGAACTCACACTGGATTTTCCAAAGCAATTGATTTTGCTCTCTCAGCCTTTCTCCAGAACTCTGGCGCCTGACTTCCAATGAATACAAAACTTGCTTCGTCCTGAAAAAGAGGACTTGGACACTGTTGCAACTGCCAGTGCTTCCTTTTCCTTAGCCCAAGTCAGACGCCTCTTCCGTTGTCTTGAAGTTCAAAGTGCTTGACCATGGGAAAATACGCTATTGTAGCCATTTCCCGACACGTCTGTGACAGTGACTTTTGATACCTGGGACTCCAGCTTCAGTCCACTGTCCTTTGAAGCTCCCCAAATTCCGGAAGCGACTTTTCTTCACAAATGCTGTACATGGGCTGCGGTCCATCTCTCTTGGTTGTGGCAGGTTCCTCCACATTTCCCCCTTCCAACAGACTTTTTGTGGATTGTGCTTGAACTGCACTCTGGTGAACAGCTTGCCTTTGAGAAAATTTCTTTTTTGTGTCGTTACCCTCTGAATGGAGGGTGTCAATGAACGGTCCTCTGGACCAGGCAGTCAGGATCAGCAGTCTTCCCATACTTGTGATTTAGTTTACTNAACATAACCTCCTCAAACTGAACAGCAACAAAACAGAACTCCTCCTAATCGGCTCCAAATCCACCCTCAGCAAGGTCACTAACATAACACTCACCATTGATGGCACCATTGTTTCCCCCTCCAATCAGGCACGCAACCTTGGTGTAATCTTTGACCCCACCCTCTCCCTCGAACCTCACATCCGCCAAACAGTCAAAACCTAATTTTTCTACCTCCGCAATATTGCAAAAATCCTACCCTCTCTCACCCGCCCCGCAGCCGAACAACTAATCCATGCCTTAATTTCCTCCCGCCTCGACTACTGCAACTCACTTCTTTACGGCATCAGCACTACATCCCTCAATAGACTCCAACGGGTTAAAAATGCAGATGCACGTCTCCTTACGCATACCAAATCATGGCATCACATCCCCCCAGTCCTCAAAGACCTCCACTGGCTTCCTGTCTCCCATCGCATCAACTACAAAATGCTGGTCCTCACCTATAAAGCACTCCACCATCTGGCCTCCCCTTATCTCACAACTCTTCTCACTCATTATCAACCCCCACGGTTCCTCAGATCCACCGCAGCCAGACTCCTATCCATTCCCACATCCACACTCTGCAGCTTTGGGGACAGAGCCTTCTGGCAGCTCCTAGGCTCTGGAATTCCCTCCCCCAAGATCTCCGTGACTCTGAGTCCTTCACAGTCTTTCAGTCCCGCCTCAAAACACATCTTTTCAACTCTGTCTACTCATAAGCCCCCCTCCCCTCTCAATCAACTTCCTCTTGATTGCCTTTT